ATATATATATATGAAAGGGCAGTCAGGGTAGGTTTCACTGAGATTACATTTGAGCAAAGACTTAAAGAAGGTGAGGGAGTTAGCCATGAGTATATCTAGGGGAAGAAGTGCGAGCAAGGGCCAACAGCTGTGCAAAGGCCTTATGTTTTTTGAGGAAGACGGAAGCTAGTGTCGCTGGCCCAGAGTAGGATGCAGTAAGGGGGTAGTAGGAGATGAAATCTTTTAACAGTTGGGGGTGAGGAGTGGCAGATCCCACAGGGCCTTGTAGAAATCTTATACAGTACCTTGCCCATAGTAGGTATTCAACAAATGTTTGCCCAGTCATCTTTTGCCATCTAGGATTATTATCAAATAGCATTTATCTGTATATTTATTGGAGTTACGTGTGCTTTCTTTATTCTAGGGTCCTCTCCATAGTCCTTTTACCTAAGGAGTGTATTTATGAACATACTGCCCTCCGAGGGCAGTGAAACCCTTGTGGGCATTAGAGATCAAAGTGAATGCTATATTTTTGCAACTGCAAACAGGAAACAAATGTCAAATACTGTGGCTGCTGAATAACTGTGCTGGGCATCTCTAAAAAGCTTGTTAGGGTTGGGACAGTCCTCATTCTTTTGTAATCACAAGCTGAATTCTGGTTGAAGCATCCCTACCATGGGATATGTATCCATATTTCTAGCCTAAAAGGAGCAGCTTCAGTGATGAGCTTCCTTCAACTTTCAATCCAGGTGCCCTCTGCATTATTTCCCTGGATATAGAAGTGGTGGCATTAATACAGATTTCAAGTGGCTCTGGGTTTTAGTGCCTTAACTGTCTTCCAGGATTGCAAAGCCTACCCTGGCTTGCACTTGATTGCATTTAGTAGGTGCTGGTTGAATGAAGGAATGAATAGCCTTTATTTTTTCTTTTCTCATATTCATTTTCCATAGCCCCCAAAATGTAGACTGTCTAAGAACTTTGACCACAGAAGCATCAGTCCCACCAAAGAGGAAGGAGGGAGAAGGGAGAGATGGGGACCTCATTAGCAGGCTATCAGCAGGCTTTTAGGGCCTGGAGGGAAAACCATCAGGAAGGGCAAGATATGTGAAAGTTCTTGGCTTTTTATGTCTTATAAAATGAAATAAGCAGATTGTGTAGCTTGGGGCTAACTTAGCCTTGGGTTTAAACTATGACCCTTAGTTAGGCTGTCTGGTTCTGTGTTAACACTATGTCAAGGAGACCAGAGTTATGAGTTGGAGCTTTGACTGGACATCAAACTCTATTCCCTATGTTGAGCTCTGCTAGCCTCTCCAGCTGGTTAACAGGAGAATGGTGTGGAGAGAAAATAAGTGGGCAGATGAGGGAATGTTTCAAAACAAAGACTGCCTAAAACATCCCAAAACATACATCCTATTATGTGGATCAGTTGACTCATCTTCACATTTGAAGAAAAGACATATTACAGAGTGTTTCGTAGCCATAAAAAGGACTCAACCACATTTCTTTTATCATTATGTTCATAAATAGAAACCAGAGAATTTAAGCTCACTGGATAACCTTGGATGTTGGTGCATTATTGGGTCCTCTTAGAACCCACTTAGATACCTATGCACCCTCAGCTTTTGTAGATGCTGTCTCTGAGTTCCTATGCATTGACTTTGTGTTTTCTTCAGGCCTAAGTTTGGTGAGAGCTTCAGTTTATGCCATAGAGTCCTTTCTATGGGCCAGAGATCCTTTCATTTTAGATTCCACAGTTTGTTCATACACCATAGACAGACCGTGACTGTATTTTGAGTGAGTTTGCAAAGATATGGTCAGTTTGTTAGAACTTGACCCACCATCTGCTCACTTATCAGTTTCAGGGTTTTTTTTGTTTTGTTTTTCTAGTGACAAGGTTTTGCTCTGTTACCCAGGCTGGAATGCAGTGGCATGATCATAGCTCACTGTAACCTTGAACTCCTGGGCTCAAGTGATCCTCCTGCCTCAGCCTCCCGAGCAGCTGGGACTACAGGCATGAGCTACCACACCTGGCTAATATTGTTAAATATTTTTGTAGAGATAGGGTCTTGTCATGTTGCCTAGGCTGATCTTGAACTCCAGGCCTTGAGCAATACTTCTTACTTCTGTCCTGGCCTCCCAAAGTGGTGAGATTACTTTGGTGTAGCCACTGTGCCTGACCCTAGTTTCAGATTTTATATCCAGAGAACTAGACAAGGAATTCCCAACCTTTGTTCCTTTGTTTTATCCCAAGATGTCCTCTTTTTCTTTTTCCCCCCTGCAAAGAGAACAGTGGGGGTTGGAGGGATGGTTATCCTTGGGCTATTCTACTTGTTTTTGTTCTGGCACACCTACTCCTCACTACAGTTAGAAAAATTATACACTGTAGTTTATACTCAGATCTCTGGTCACTTAAATACAAGAAGCTTCAGTCTTTCTTGCTTTCTTTTTTTTTTTCTTTTTTGGGATGGTGGTGGTAATGGTGTTGTTAGACTCTAAGTTCTATAAGATTATGTCTTTGTTTAGGCATGGGCAGTGCCTAGCCCATGGCAGATGAATGAATGGGAATATTATCCTATAGATGGTGTGTGGTTTAGAAAATCAACTATTGAGACTTGACATGAAATTCTACATCGGGCATTGAGACTAACATGATTCCCAATTTTCACTGAGGGATATCACATCCAGAGAACCTGAGAAGGGATCCCTAGAGCTCCTTATTCTAGCCTTGAGAAGTAGTGGATGAGCTATAAAAAGATAGCCTTTAAAAATAAATGAAATCCTAGTGATAATTTGATCCACTCTCAGACTAACTATGAAAGTTGACCAAGATTAAACAGAGCTAGTGGCAGATCTGGGACTGGAATTAAGCCCTCCATGTCCCCAGCTCCAGTACTTTTCTTACTACCTGAGATAGTCTTGCCAATGACCATCACTGCAAGGCAAAGTAAAGTTCTGTGACAAAGACCTAGAACAGAAATAGACGATACATGGTGTACATGCCATGACATTTCCTTCCAGTGCACAAAAGAGATGTCACTAGCCATATGACATTCTTCCCATTGGGTGTGAACAGGCCCTCAGGCAGCCACTACCAACCAATCAGAGTCGGCACTCAAGAGGAAACCCATCTACCATTCCTCTTCCAGAGGAAATAAAGGTTTCATCAGCCAACGAACTCTGGCCTCGACCTCTCTTCTCCAGATGAGCTGAAAACTCCAGCAGGAACCTTACACTCTTTATTGCTCTTCACTGTCCCCACATCCACAAAGGACTTAAAAGTGATGTCTGTAAGCAGGTTTTCCACAGCATGGATCTGCCAGACAGAGCAGGTGCAGGATTAGTCATGACTCCAAGTCAGGCAAGGTGATTAAGAAAAGCTAAATTTATATTAAATTATCATAAAGTCCTAAAATACTGAACATAGTGGTTAAATAACTCCAGAAAGTCCAATCTCTCCAGTGAGTAACGTTAAAACCATTACACATGAGCATGGGAGAATCGCTTCCATTAGTTTAGGACAGAGAGATTTTGCTTTTTACAGAGTAAATCAGTGCTCAAATAGATACTTCCTCAAATATGTCCTTTCTACATTCTGAACAGCCCAAGTGCAATAAGATCCTTCCCCCTTTCCAATTAAGGAAATGCCACTTTTCTACTTGCTCTTCCTCCCCAGACATGAGTGTCAGGACCCAAAGTGCTCCCTCCTTTACTGCTTTGTCAAGTGTAATGTGGGGAGGCTGTAATGTGGGGAAGCTCAGACCTGGGGCTGATGCTACTGAGAGCAAGGCTAAGGGCTTGGTATCTCTCTCTAGCAGTCTTAGAACTGACTTGATCTTGTCCTTTTTCACCCATGTTTGGTAGCTGATTTCTCAATACCAGTAACCACAGGAGAAGTTTCAACTCAGGAAACTTCCCCTAGAAATTCTCCCCTCCATTCCCAGCCCCTGTTGTCCTCTCCTGCCACTTCTAATTCCTGGGGGAGAAGAGGTCTGGGTCTGCCATGGGCTAGGAGGGCCTCATCAGTGGTGCTCTCTACCTTCCTACTCCTTGCCCACCTCTTTGCATCTTTATTTATTCGGCCCTCCCACCACAGGACTTTGGAGATTGCTGGTGCCACAAGGCTTGGTCAGAAAAAGCAAATTAGGCAAAAAACAAACGGAAAAAAAAAAACAAAAAAACAAACCAACCCATGAAGAACAACTAGGGAGACGTTTTAGGGCAAAAATAAGTCTCAGTTTCCCTCATACTAGGCTGAGACACATGCCCTTTGTGTGAATGAGCATGAACCAAGTGATGGCATCCCACACGGAAACCAAGCCCCTTAGCTGAGGAGACAGCTGGAAAAGGAACGTCACCACCCCACAGCCACAGGCTCGCTGTCCACTAATTTAGATCCCTGAGCACTTGAGAAAGAACACAGGAAGTTCAACAGGAAGTTTGACCCTCATGGATACTTCTCTTTAGGCCCTGGGTGTCCCAAGTCTCCAACCTGATTGTTCTTTCTGACCATTTATGACAACTTCTGGTTTTTCTTTGAAAGCTTGTTTCTAGGTCTCTTCCCTAGAATCCCAGGGAATGAGGGAGAGAGGGTTCAGGTGGTATACCATGTTTGGTCTAGGCAGAGCTTCTTAGACTTTTCAGAGACTCAGCCCCCAAGGCCTAACATTCACTCAAGCCACTGGCTCACAACCTGGTTACTCTGATCAAAGACTTAGGAAAGATACTGGCCAGTGGTGGCACCAGGAGGGAATTCATATTAGCCAGTAGCCTCGTGATAGGGGCCCCAGTTATCCGAAGGTAGAAAGAGCTCCACACATTCTAGCAGGAGGAAGAACAGCTTGAGCCACCCCCATCTTACCAGTATCTGCTGCTGAAAAGGCAGTGACTCTTAGGGCAAGAATAATGTCCACTGCCAGCAATGGACCAGACACCCAGACCCAACTACCCACCAAAGCTTTTTCATGTTACCAACACACTTGAGGCTGAAGGTTCCCAGATGCCCATACCTGCTGGGCTGACTTTTCCTTCTTCTCTCAGCCTCTATCCTTCATCCCTCTTTACCCACACCCCCTTGTCCCAGCCTCTGATGGGCAAGTTCTCTCAGAGAAGCAGTCATGCTGGCTGTGCTGGGGCAGAGCACAGTCCTGGGTCATCAGCTGCATCAGCACTGAGAAGCAGGCACTGAGGGTACCGGGGGAAGGGGAGGTGGAGCTCTACGCTGGCGAGGAATCATGAATAAGCAGTTTCAGGGGGCCCAGGACGGAGTACAAGATGTGAGGTTCATGGTAAAATCCAGGTCTAAATTCTCGAGATGTGCCATCATTTGTTGTGCACAGGTAGTTATGGACTCAGGTGGTAAACAGCTCCAGTGAGGGCTTAGGAGCAGTTATGGGGTGGGAGGAGGAGGAGGACGAGCACACAGAAGAGGGGCCTGCGGTGTAAGCAAGCACAAGGACTAGACGTCCATAAAGGAGAAGGAACAGGCAGGCAGGGAAGAGAATGCGGGCATTTAGACCTGGCTCTCTGAGGAGAGCTTGCGTTCATGTTTCCAGCCCGTGTCTGGCAGAGAGCCTCGTCTTTCTGGAGTGGCTGCAGTATGGACGCTGCTACACTCGGACTGCTCTTCCTGTAACAGCTGCTCCGTCTCTGTGTCATCCAGGGAGCCAGAGCTGGCCTGGATAGACACTGTGTCTGTCTTCATGCATACATGATCCCGGAGGAGGCCCCCCCGTGAGCTTCGCAGTTGCTTGAGGTCATCCCACTCAGCATCATCCCCAGACAGGAGGCAGATTCCCTCTACGATCTTGATCTTCTCCTTGGTGTAGTTATGGTCAGGCCCTCCCTAGGGTGGAGAGTGGGCAGATATAGTCAGTCAGTTGGCTTTCTACAAAGGATCCCATGGTAAACTGGAAAAAGGAAGTGGATGGGGTTAAGAGTAGGAGTGAAGCACACAAAAATCCCACAAACAAACGTGGAAATGTGATTGGGCAAATGTATGAGGCCTAGCCTAAAAGGGGAGGGGCAGCTATGATGATTGTTACCATTATCATACAGGGAGGAGGGAAAACCATGGCTTCCAGTACTGCAGCAGCCACTCACTGGCTTTGTCACTTTGGGCAAATTATTTCACTTTTTTTTAAAATTTTTATTTATTTATTTATTTTTTGAGACGGAGTCTCGCTCTGTCGCCCGAGTTGGAGTGCAGTGGCCGGATCTCAGCTCACTGCAAGCTCCGCCTCCCGGGTTTACGCCATTCTCCTGCCTCAGCCTCCTGAGTAGCTGGGACTACAGGTGACGCCACCTCGCCTGGCTAGTTTTTTGTATTTTTTTTTAGTAGAGACGGGGTTTCACCGTATTAGCCAGGGTGGTCTTGATCTCCTGACCTCGTGATCCGCCCGTCTTGGCCTCCCAGAGTGCTGGGATTACAGGCTTGAGCCACCGCGCCCGCGCCCCGCGCCCGGCCTATTTCACATTTTTAAAACTCAGTCTCTAAAACTCTGCAGTGTGAGGAGAGTAACAGTATCCATACCTCACAACCAACTGCTGTCAGGTTAAATGAGGTGATACATGGAATGCAGTTGCTTGACACAAAATGCACTATAACATGGTAGCTATGTTACATTGTTACTATGGTTTATTAATGGGACATCATGCTGATATAAATCATCAAAAGCAATTGGCAAGAGCAATTAAATGTACATTTATTCAGGATGTTAAGTTACTTTCGGTGTTAGTTTCTCAATTATCTCTTTTTTCTAATTTTGTTAAGGAGAAAACTTGCGAGGTAAGACAGGGGACTCTAGAAAATCCTCTTATCTGTCCAGACGTGGTGGCTTATGCCTGTAATCCCAGCACTTTGGGAGGCCCAGGCGGGCAGATCACTTGAGTTCAGGAGTTCAAGACTAGCCTGGTCAACATTGTGAAACCCCTTCTCTACTAAAAATACAAAAATCAGCTGGGTGTGGTGGCGGGCGCCTGTAATCCCAGCTATTTGGGAGGCTGAGGCAGGAGAATCCCTTGAACCCTGGAGGCTGAGGTTACAGTGAGCCAAGATCACGCCACTGAACTCCAGCCTGGGTGACAGAGCAAGATTCCATTAAAAAAAAAAAAAAAAAAGAAAGAAAGAAAGAAAAAAAACTAAAAAAAGGAAATCCTCTTATCTGGGTCCTAAACCTCACTCCAGTGGGGTCCTGCAACTTATAACCTTTTTTGGGAGGTTACTCTGGCTTTGCTGCCATGAGTCCTGGGACCATTCCCAAGCAAAACCTGGGACTCTTCCAGGCACAGCCTGGAGTTCTGCTCAGCCCTCTCCCTTTATGGCTTCTTCAAAGAGTAGCCTCATTCCTGGCTGCTGGGGCATACCAACTGACATGCCACCACTGCTAGAAGAAAATGGATCATCTTGGGTTCTGTCCCTGGGATAGAATTCCTGCCAAGAGTTCTGCAACTGTGGCTGTGGCTCTATTTTTGTAACAATTCAATTCCACAGATATTTACTGAGCCCCTATGTTAAGCAGGAGACTGTGCTAGGTGCTTTGATGATTATGCAATAAAAAACATGGTCCCTGCCCTCTGAGAGTGACAGTCCCCTCAGCCATGCAGAGTGGGACATAGATAGCACACAAGCAAACACACAGATGTCCGTTCACCCAGCACACCCTCCAAGATGAAATTAGTATAAGATGCAGGCCACTCAGTGTCTTAATCAAGAGACATGCTGGGGAAGTTAGGGAGAGGTGGGGGACATGGCACTTGCAATTTGGGAAACACCACTCCCTCTACAAACACCCAGCAACAGGTACCTGAAATCAAGAGGAAATCAGAAGAGAAAAGGTGAAAGACTATCAGAGGGGTGAAAGAGCTGCTGAGGAAGAAACACACAACAGAAGAAAGAGGTTACACTATTTTAATTGCCATCCTGTGGCCTTCATTGTGGTTCTTTTCTGGAGCATCAGATACTCCAGGAACCCAAGAATCTTCAAGAGTCTTTCTCTCAAAGATACTGAGGAGGGGTCTACCATTCCTAGAACTATAAGCCATCCCTGCACATTCTGTTTTGACTGCAGTAGAAGCTTTTTAAAAAGTTTTTTTAATTAAAAAATTTTTTTCAAACATCAACTTGAACCAGAAGTAATGGAAGCTTTTTAAATATGGGAATTCATGGATGCAGAAAGCACATGATTATTATGTGAAATGTGTTCATTACACATGAGAGCCCTGCAGGTGTGAGAGCCGGTTCTGACTGTGCTAGATAGGCCAAAAAAGTAGACCGATTAGGGTCTTCATAAGGAATAACTTCTGATGAAGAGTTACAGGATTTTAGGGGAAAAAACAAGGCTTATATTGGATTAGGAAAATCTGAAATACCAGGTATAGTTCCCTTGTGGAAATGGGACTTTTTTTTTCTTCTTTTTTTTAGACAGGGTCTCACTCTGTCATCCAAGCTGGATGGTAGTGGCACGATCACAGCTCTCTGCAGCCTCCAACTCCTGAGCTCAAGTGATCCTCCCACCTCAGCCTCCTGTGTAGCTGGGACTACAGGCACAAGTCACCACACCCAGCTAACTGAAATGGGACTATTTTTCATGCCTTAACATTGAGCAAATAATTTTCCATTGAAGTGACAAAGAAGTTAAAAAAACAAAAGCAGGTAAACCTTCAGAATTCTAGAGAAATTTCTGTGGTAAGAGGAAGAACAGTGAAAAACAAGCCATTCCCAACCATAGGTGCTACTAGCTTGGTTAGTAATGGGCAAGTCCAGGAGCTCTTGGGTTTTTTGGGTGTGGTCTGGGAGAGCTCCCTTGTTTCAGAAACACATAGCCCTTTGTAGGGGAATGACAATTCCTGGAGGGAAAGGACCTATGAGCTTGGAAAAATATCTCCTGGCAGGACAACTGCTTTCAGACCTAAATCTTCTGAGATCTGCCTTCTAACCTGGCTCTCACTAAGGTCCCTCAAGCTAATCCCTCAGAGATTCTAGAACTTCCCAGAAACCCAAATTACATTCAGTTCTTCTGTTCACTATAACTTCCAAAATGGTAGATGGGATTACTCAGCAACCCTTACTGACTTATTTGGGCATTTGGAGTATAACCCCTCCCCACACCTCCCCAAAAAGACCCTTGAACGTAAATTTCAATTTTTACCTCTTTCTTATAGCACAGCTGGTTGTACATGGCTGGTTTGGGGATTGCTTCAATCTTCACTTCCTGTGTGGATGTTCGGTAGGAGGGGTTGCTGTAGGTGAGGTTCCCCATTCCAGGATCAGTGAACTTGGATTTTTTGTGTCTTTAGGAGGAAAGGTGATGAGAAATTAATTGAGATCTTTAAGGGGGTGATAAGGGGGAAAGCTGTAAACTGAGTCCGGTAGGCAGCCTCTAAGATGATCCCAGTGACTCTCACTTCCTGGTATTCATGCCCTTAAGAATCCCCTCCCCTTGAGTGTGGACTGGTCTGGTGACTTACTTCTAATGAAAAGATTATGCAAATGTGATGGCTACTAGATTAAGTTACCAAGAAACTGGTTCTGGTCTTGAGTTGCCCTCCCTCATTCTTTCTTGCTCTTGCTCTGGGAGAAGCAACCTGCCATGTTGTAAGCTGTCCTATGGAGAGGCCCACAAGACAAGAAACTAATGAGGAAGGCCTCCAGCCAACAGCCTATGAGGACCTGAATCCTGCCAACAACTATGTGACTGAGTGTGGAAGGGGATCCTTCCCCAGTCAAACCTTGAGATGAGACTGTAACCCCAGCTGATATCTGGATTGCAGTCTGTGAGACACCTTGAGCCAGAGGCACCTAGCTAAGCTGCATCCAGATTTCTGACCCATAGAAACTGTGAGATAATGGTTGTCATTTTAAGTCACTAAGTTTTAGGGTAATTTGTTATGCAGCAATGGAGAACTGATGCACTGAGCTTGAGAGTCAGACAGATCTGTTTCAATTCCACCTCTGTGATTTATTAGCTAGGACCTTGATAGATATAATCTAAACTCTCTGGCTGGGTGCAGTGGCTCACACCTGTAATCTCAGCACTTAGAGAGGCTGAGCTGGGCAGATCACATAAGGCCAGGAGTTCGAGACCAGCCTGACCAACATGGAAGAAATCCTATCTCTACTAAAAA